CTACTTCGAGACTATGAATTCGTATAATGTACAATCTTCGTGTTATTTTTAAAACTCGTACACATTTTTAAAAGAATCTTGTATACTCAATCTTGATGCAACTACACGAAGGTAAAAACAAGCGTTTCACAAGTCTTTGTAGTCACGAGCAGCATCAATATAATACGTCTGTTTTATGCGGGTACCAGGTCAAAGTGATAAGAATAGTAATATAATGTTGTGACGTAAATAATGAACAAACGATATTTTTCTTTATATTTTAACATTCGTCATATTTTATTGACTGGCGATGCTTTATTGCCCGAACATTATTGACAAGGTCATTTGGTTTTACTTTTTAGAAAGGAAAACGAATCACTTTGTGAAATTGTTAAAGTTTAAAATTATATAGTTTGATAAAATAATATAGTTTGTAATTGCATCTCCTTCACTTTTTTGATGGTTTATTTTTTTAAATTTTTATATTAGGTTGGTGCAAAAAAATGTCGGTTTTTCTGTATTGCTATTAAGAGCAGTCGTAACTTCGTTAAAAAATGGACGAAATTTGAATTTAAAAAAAGAGTTTTAAAGAGCTTGAAATCTCTACTTTCGAAAGATCATTGTATTTTTTTAATTTATGTGAGTTTGATAATTTTTACATATAGAAGACTACCAGCTGAAAAAATTGAAAAAATTTCTTTTAAGTGTTAATAAAGTTAATTTCTGTATAAAATAAGATCACAGTAATATGTTAATGCTTCTTCATAAACTTTCTTTCATAAACGTTTAAAATAAAATAATTTACGAGCGTAAATACGGAAGAAATCTGAGATCTTTGTACTATGATTATTTGAAATGATCTTATTTAAACGTAAAGCATGCTTTTAATCTTTATAACGTATAATCAGAGATAATCCATTCTTTACTCGGCAAGAACTGCGAACAAGTTGTGTCAATACAGCTGTGATTGCCAATCATAATACACAGAACAGCTGATCTTTGCACGCTAGTCTTTAAACTATAAATGTTTACTGCGCTTATATGGCGTACATGGCTCGATGATAACATTGTTCAGAAAAATCGATAACAGAAGCCAGTGTATTAAGATAGATAAGAAAACAGTATTACTTTAGAGCAGTTCTTTGAGAAAATAATGGCTCAAAAAAGAAACGGAGTATTATTGTAATTGTGAAAAGCAAATAATAGTATGAATTCTAACCTTTAATATACGCGATTGGGTCATTCGTATCTTTGTGCATTTTTTTTCTTTGAAATACTAGGAGCACGTACTTATTTTTTGTATACTTATTAAAGTAATGAAAATTAACCCGGGATACAAATTACCTATCGTGTAGTAAAAAACTGAAAAATCATCATATGCTAAGGATTAATTATAACGCATGAATTGACTTCATAGCGGGGATTCCAATGTTTCGAAGATTATTAAAGCGTATACGTCACAGTCTACTTAGAGTAGACCTCGACAAAGTGAGTAGCTTTATTATAACCGTTTTCTTCCTCGCTTTCTCATGATGCCGCTTTTATAATGATATTCCATTTTGTTAACATCGCAAAGTCGGTAGCCATGATCCGTTTCCACGCACCAGTGCACCCGGCTTTATCGCCACATCGTTGTCGTCATTCTGGAAATCCAAGAATGAGAGAGTGACTGCGAGATGAGTCGGATAATCGCGTATGAGTCGCTATGATCTCCTTATTGGAAATCGATGTATCATAAAATATTGTAATGAGTAAAAATATACACGAAATAAAAATATAATTTTTTTGATCATCCAAACGTTAATTAAATCCAAACGGAATTGGAAAGACTCGTGTTGCGAGTGACGGGTTATACGACAACGAGTTACAAGAAGCTGTGAGCCACGCAACGTGAAAATTACGTAAATGTGTGAGACCTTACCTTGTCACTTGAGTAACGTGAATCGATAAATTTCGAGAGAAGGTTCAAGATAATGCAGCGGGATTTGCATGCGTAATAAACTTCAGCAACTTGAATTGTTTACCCGTCACAAGTTGGAATTGAAATATAGAGACGTCCGAAACCACTCGGTCGCGGTGATACATGAATATGTATTAGTGAATTTTACTATTCATTTTATAATTCACATCAGAACGAAGGTTCAAACGAATACTTGACTGTCCGTGATAAAATAATTAAATTAGAAATTCAAGATCACAATATTTTTAGTTGACATATATTACGCAGTCTTGACTTTAATGAATATGAGATTACTAATAATTATGATTTTCATTGACATAATAACTCAAATAATCATGCAAATGGATGACTCGATAGAAAAGTGATTGTTCGACACTCCAAATTCGAACGTTTTCACATAAAGCAAACATTCACGTTCGTGATCAATCTACTATTGATCGGAATCCTCTTTTGAATTGGCAATGACTCAAAGTCAAGATCTGATCCGTCGCTTATGCTTGTTATCAATTAAAGCGAGTACTCTTCGTGGTTAATGAGGTGTATCCCAGGAATACCGAACCTTTGCCATTTTGCTTCATGAATCGTTACAATGCGCCTTTCATCTTTGAGTTCGAGCTCGAAAGATTTGAATGCCCCCACGAATCTTCCAAATGTTCAAGGTTTTCTTCTGAGGTCATTACGATTTTTTGTTTCCGAAATCCAAACCCGAGATCACAGATTGTGATTCGAACTACAATGATTTGCAACGAGATCGTAATCTTAGAAGGACAAAAAACAAGCTGAGAACAAAATTCTCAACCTCCCCATCATTTATCCATTCTCTTTTGGACGTATGTATCAACTATCCATGAGAGTCTGCAGAGTTTTTTAAGTGAAATAGACTGAAAAGTGATTAAATACAAATAAGAGAATAAAGCCATTTCCGATCAAAGTATGTCTTGGTGTTTAATAATAGTCATATGTGAATATACAAATATATAATTATCAGTTCTATAGATTCAAGATTGCGCGACGATTCCGGACTTGAAATACAATCATTATGCATCAAAATAAATCGATCGACAAATTTATTATATTGATTAAAGGATATAGGAAAACATCACAATAGAAAATATAATTATAAGAAAAAAATTCATATGTATATGAATATGTGATATTCTTTTAAATAGAGCCCTTCTTTTTGTTTTTATGACAAATTATCAGCCGCCACATGTGAATGATACGCGTTCGAGAGAACATGTAAACGTACAAGTTGCACTTTTTGCATTTATAGATTAGAGTACCGTTGAAGATAAACTTTTCGGCCAGACCGAAAGACGTGGTTGTGTCGATCGCAAAGAAACATTTAAGCTGTGGACTGAAAGGCCATCCACCAATTCTTGCTGGAGATTTTCCGCACGAGGTCAAACTAGAGGAGTCAACTTGGGTAATTGAAGACGGAAAAATATTGCTAATTAATCTAGAAAAGGTGAGTCATGAACATAATAGGTGCGATTGCACCCACGCGCTTTTTCATGGCCTCGCCGATCCTCGGCCTTATCGCAACAGTTCTAACAAGGGAAGTTTCACAACTGTCCGGAACCGATTTGATTCTCCATGAAATATATTGTAAAACACGAAAATCTAAAAAAAAGACACATATTTTTTTATACGTGCGCTAACTTATGTTTAAAGGGTGAAACACCCCTTAGATGGTTATTGTAACGTAATGATGACGTAATAATAGCAATATCCTTATAATTGGCAATGAAATTAACGTTTGCCGATTGCAGGTAAATCAAATGCAATGGTGGGCACATGTTATAACGAGTGAGCCCGAAATTAGCACGAAGAAAGTAAACCCCGAACCTAGTAAACTCTCTGACCTCGATGGAGAGACAAGAGGCCTAGTGGAGAAAATGATGTACGATCAGAGGCAGAAAGAACTAGGACTTCCAACATCCGATGAACAGAAGAAACAGGACGTCATCAAGAAGTAAGACTCTTGAGAGAACTTGGTGTTTTTATCGTGTTATACCTATATCAATATCCAACGTTTTAAATTAATTAATGAATTAATTACATTTTGTTGAATTTTTCTAGGTTTATGGAGCAACATCCCGAGATGGACTTCTCGAAATGTAAATTCAATTAAAATAATCAATAACGCGCGCACTTAATAATATTCCAGTACTATACATTGATATATTTTTGAGATATATCTCGCTTTTTATTGTCATATAATATGTGATCTTTTATGCTCGACGTTTCCATCGTTGAAGAAGGTCGATGCGATTACAAAGATGGCAGCACAATGTTAGACTATGATGCCATATACAGAGTTCTACTAATGCGATCGAAATATTTTCTGATTATTCTCTTAATTTTTTTTTCACTATTCTTTTACATTTTCCTTACTTTTAAAGAAAAAATGCATTGCACAGTTGTCTAATTTCTGTATTTGCGCTTCTATTATCTATCGAGCTCTTTGGAAAGAAGATAGATTAGAATTGTATGAAAGAGATACAACTTTGAGAATAAAAATCATATAACTGTTATATTTTTTCTTTCCCAATGTATTACCTTTAATCTTAATATTCTTAGTATTCGAAAATCTAGTCGACCCAAAGTTTCTTCAATTACATTGAAAAATTGTTTATATCAAATGTTTTTCACACATAATTTTAAGTTATAATCTTATTCGGATTTTGACCTTCAAAATGAAAAAAAAATCGTTTAATTACATTAATTTTAATCAAAGATGTACATTTCATTTCCTGATTCCTTACACGTATAAAATGATACAAACATATTTTTGAAGAAAGTGAAATGTGCGATATAGTAACAAGTTACAGCATAATTAATTTTATATTTGATGCTTTCAAATGCGTATTTTAAAATGCGTAATTTAAAAATTTTTATTGATATACTAGAAATTTGTGTCCCGATTGCCTGTTGTATTTTTAACTTCTATGCTTGTTTATGCGTGAACACTATAATTACAATTATAATACAGTTATAATGTTTGCTGTGTTTCTTAAATGTAATCATCAGTTTGCTTCATCACTTTCATAACCCAACGCACGTAATTGGATAGTCTGGCATATATACCAAATTTACCGCGCTTTCCACAACCTTCGCCGAAACTAGTGATACCAAAAATTGTCCACGGATGTTCGGGTTTTCGAGGATCTCTACAGAGCAAAGGTCCCCCACTGTCACCCGCGCAAGAGTCCATTTTACCACGGCGATAACCCGCACAGAACATATTATCCGTTATTCTGTAATCCACGTAAACCTCTCGACAAGTTTCGGGAGACACTATTGGAACCTAAAATTGAATTTAACATTCGTATTATTTTTCTAAAGCACACAGTTGCGATTGTGGGCTCATTATTACATTATTAATCTTTAGAAGACAAGGTCTATTTTTAAAATCTTATAGCTTTTTCTTAAGTAAGATTCTTAAGTAAGATTTGTTATGATTCATTATTTTTCACTATATTCTTTAAAATATAACATTGTTTCTCTCTCAACACCATTATAGTGGCTTTTCCGTTCTATAAAGATTAAATAGTTCAATTTTTTAAATTGAATTGCATACTTTAACTTCGTGCAGCACATCCGTTCCGAAATCGTCCGTCACGCTGGATTTGCCCCAGCCGATAATGGTACACAACTGATTCGTAGGTAAGGGCTGCTTTGGTGCAGGTAAACACGCAATCCCTCTCGAAGGAGATGGAGTCAAGGTAACTGGTAAACGAAGTAGAGCCACATCATTATCAACAGTATCGGCATCATACTCCGGGTGGATGGTCACTGAGTCCACCTACGCAGTCATAGAATTAATCAGCGGCATGAAATTGTCTATCTAGCTTTTGGCTGCGACACGTACCCTAAGCTCTAATTCCGTGCCTTCTTTCATCGTTAAATCGTGCTCTCCAATACGAACATAAAGGCGTTTTCTAATGCAATGAGCGGCAGTTAATACCCATCTTGGGGATACCAATGTTCCACCGCAAAAAGCTTCCTGGAAAAAGAAAAGCAATTAAATCCAAACAATTATAAACCCTTTCTTTCTCCTCGATCATTTGTAGGCGTCTTTCGGATTTATATTATTTGCTGTTTATAGGAAATGAGATTTATTCATTGCAAATGTACCCGAAATCGATTTAACACGGCCACTTGCCATGGCCAGCTTCCAGGTGCAGTCGGACGGCCGCCGATAATTCGCGTGAAGTATGATAATCTGGATCCTTTATGAGTCGCTACTCCGCACTTCCAAATATTTGAATTCTTTTCTGGAGCGAAGCTATCCACGGTGTTAGGATTGAGTTCGAACTCGTCCAACACCAAGTCTAAAAAATCAATGAAACTAGCTAATCGTTTTTCTTATTAGTATTCAATGTCGAGTTGGAATAAGTTTACCATCGCCGTCTTCTTCGTGGCTACCGCGAATCTTTCGATGGATCCATCTTTGGCAGAAGCTACCTTCGACGTAGCAATAGGCGCTCTCTCGTATCACATCGCGCCCGCAAATTCCTGGCTTTCTGCACCATCTAATCACAACAAATAGATAATATATAATATCAATTTCGAACATGGTACAATTTTGAACAAAATAAAATAATTCAATTTTTGAAGTTCAAGTTTGGTAATCCTGATCTCATTGTATGGGGAATATTGAAAATATTAAATAGGAAAAAATCAAAATTGAACTTTGAAAATTGGATTCAAATTTTATTTCGTTCAGACTTTTACCATGTTCGAAATTGTACCTTACCCTATGTAATCTATGAATTTTTGTAATACCTATGACGTTGAGTAGTGCACAATCTCGTGCAAGGCGACCATTTACTCCATTTTCCATATTGTCTTTTGGAATTCTCCTTACTGTTTTTGCCTTTTTGTTTTCCATGCCTAGGCTCTGCTTCTTTAGGTACCTGTTAAACACGCGCATTAGCAATCGGAAATCAAATATTATTGCATGCCGCGACTTACTTGAACGACATGAAATTTTTCATTTCTTCGTCGACGTTTCCGGCGCTGACGTTGTTTGCATCGCCTTTGACGACTTTTTCTGTTATGTTCGCAAGCACGTTCCTCCTATACCACGACAATCCGTTAATAAAAAATTGTTCACAATATCGTGTAATTATGTAGTTCACATATTTACCTTAAGTACAGTGGTCCCACAATCTTTTTTTGATCGGCACTTCCTGACGCGATTTTGCATGCAGTGTCGATCGCACACCGACCATTCGCTCCAATTTGTGAAGTGCGATAGCTTTGTCGCTCCTGTCATCAAAGTGACATGCAAGAATATAAATTAGGAATATGTAATAAAAAAAATATATAAAGTGTTGAAAGAAAATATTTTTTCAATCGGAGAAAATTTATGGAAAATCAATGGCGCACATACACTTACTGTTCTTTGGCAAATGCTCTGCAAACGGCTGGTCGATCGAGTGAAGGCAGCTTATGTTGCTTTTAACTCCGACGAATGTCTTATCTTCATTCTAAAATTTTTAACATATGTACTTAATGATATAATAATTTAGATTTTTTTATTATTAAATCAAAATTTCATGGATATAACAATATTCAGTGTAACAATTCTTTTAATTATTTTGTTACTGTTGTTTAATTAACATATTATATATTATGAACTTGGTTTACTAAATTCTAAAAGATCTAGAGAAGATCGGGGACAAAAGTAACAAGGTATAATAGTAACATTGCCAATATTTCTGAAACTATTTTGTCCCTGGTCTCCCTTATTATTGAACATTCTAACGAATGGCAAATTACAGTCGTTTTACGTTTTAACCTTGTTGAAAGGATTAATATATCAGTGAAAATTTCACGTCATATTATCTCATCACTTGACGCGCCTCTGTGTCGACAGTGGCTGCATACTGATATGATTACCTTAAAATTATCCGTCCTAGACCGAAAGACTTAATAGATACGGCCTGGCCAGCACTCTATTTAGTTCTATCATTTAGTATGCTCCAAGGTTGTAACGCCCAAGTCGCGACATTAAACTCAATTTGCCCGCTGGTAATGGCATCGCGACGTAACCGTCGTCGGCGCTAATCATGCGTTACACGATGTCACCGTGTCGACAAAGTACGTAGGCATATAAAATTACTGTCATTTCGCTGTCGCGCCTTCTCGAAGCTCCTCGAAATCTATACTCGCTCTGAAATTCCGAACAATAGTTACTGATCGCAATCGCGACGATTCATTTATAGTTCATGAATTCAGACGCGATCAAAATGGTGCTTGAAACATCCTTTCATCAGCAACATTACTGTGCGTTGTTCAAAATAAAAATGATGCAAAATTCTATTACCTAATCAAAACTAGTTACCTCAAAGAAATCTAATACCGCGTTTGTAATAGGAGAAAAGGAAATATGTATATTTTATTGATATATATATTTAGTTCAAAGCTTTATTAAATTATTTTTAAATAATGCTTATTGATAATACTTTTTAGAGAAGGATTGTATTATAAACATAACACAAATCTAAAATAAAATAAAGAGAGTGAGAGCGAGAGATATTTACCTAAATTTTTTCCAAGTTTCCAACAGAAAAAAACGTTAATAGATTTTAAAGAAAATGAAGACATTATTACTGATGTTTTAATTTGATAAGTCTGCAAATAAGTTGAATGTGTGTGTATTTACTAAATATAAGGATACTTTAACGAGTTTCAATAAGCTACATACTTCCGGGTAATCTCTAACAAATCTTCTTTAAGTGAGATTCAACTGCGATTAAATATCCATTTTCAACGTGTGAATATTATGATTATCATTATTCGGTATTTAAAAATCGAGACAGAAACAATTTCTGGCTGTGCACATTAAAAACAGTTACAGTTTAATGCCATCGTGCTTGGCTGCGAATTTTTGTGGAGAACGAGTTTTCAATTCAAATTGTGTTCGCTCAATGCATTAATTAATTAAAATATGCAAACGAATATGCACGTGCAATTACTGATGAATTTTTAGAAACTGGAATCTCGAAGCATTTCGTGGATTCCGAGACGATAACCGATTATTGAATTTATTTTATATAGGTATTTTCGAGGTACTGCCCATGAGTTGAATATTATCGAAAAGTTAATAAAATTACATGTGTATCCGAACCGGATTTGTTGACTGTGCTATAAATATTTAATTGGCATCAATTAAACGTAACAAAGCGATATCCCAATATAGACACATATATCGAAACTTATACGTGAAAATTATATTTTGTCTGATATAAATCACTCCGAAATAATGAAATAGTTTGATAGAAAACAAGTAATGATGACTCATTAGTACGGAATTACTTGTCAAAAGAAGGAACGCAAGATAAAAAAACACGAAATGAAAGAAAAAGCGATCTCGAAAAGGACAACAAATGAAATAAGAGAAATTTGTATGCGACAAGGTTAGCGTGTCCAAACTAGGCTGAGACGTGCGGTACCTTGCATCTCGGTGACAATCCCGCAAAAAGTTTGTGCCGCTAAAAGGGAAGACAATCCCGCGGGGTAAAGTCGAAGAGCATGTTACTTGTTACCAACGAGACATCTATCGTCTGAAAAATCCTGTACGAGGTCTATGCAAGAATGACACGAATATCAAGGAATTTTTATCTTTATACATCCGCGAAAAACCGTGCTAGTTTATACGAAGTTTAACTAGCGCCAATCAAACCTTTCAAGTCACATATACAATATTGTCCACAAGCACTACAAATTCTATTTATCGACAGAAAGCTGAGCGCGAAGGGCTACACTCATGAGTAAAGTGCTCTTAATATCATTGTACCGAGGATTTTGTCAAAGATTGTGCTCACTTGTGCTAAGCTAACACAATTGTTAGGTACACAATTTTATGCTATTTAAAATAACTGACGCGAACGTAAACATTAGTTGTATTCAGAATTTTTTAAAATTATTTTTTGTCATATAATTTCTGTTGTTATCACTATTTAAAGGTAATATCTTAGCACAATGTTAGCACAACCTAGCATAACCTAGAACAATTTAAAAAATTGAAAAATGCAAAGTGGGAATTGATCTAAAAATCGTTTTTTTTTTATTTATAAATGTATTTTTTATATTAAGATTTTTATATTCGGGTAATATAGCATACACTTAGAACAATTCAGCACAATTCTTAAAATATGTCAATTCTAAAAGTGGGGGTTAACTTCGTATAGATTTTCTCAACTGTAACTTGATAACAAGTGATAATTTTCAACCGCATCTGAGTAACGGGCAATTCCTATTCTTCATTTGAGATGATAATCTAATATTTTCATGTATATTTCTTGTTTATTCCATGCTCATATCTTTATGTCTATTCCACGAAGGAAATTAATTCGTCTTAGATCTATTTGTGTGCAAATTGATATCATTAAGATTCTAACATATCTATGAAATACGTTACAAGATACAAGATTAATAATGCTCGGAAGGAACGGTTTGGCTAAATTATTTAAAAATTTGGCTACATACAAATCTGAAAATAATTTTGTTGGACAAAATAATTATGATTTTTTTTTTATAATAGATCGTTTCAGCATTAATGACAATGTTGCAAAATGTTTTAACATTTTAACAACTAGTTGGAGGGCCCATCATTATTTTAATATCAAACGAAATTATTTTCAGATCTATATATCTAGCTAAATTTTTAAATACTTTAGCAAAACCGTTTTTTCCATATAAAAATTAAAAAGAAAGAGAATGAAAAAATTAGCAAATATAAATTAAGCAATTAAGAATGATAGCGCACTCGAAACATGATAACTATAATGTTTAAGACGTGTCATCATTTGACAATCTGGATTGTAAATGCACGAAGGAACGAACGTGATACGGACCGTTTTGAATAGTAGACGAAGAAAGGTTCGGAAGCGCGCCGCTTCTCGAGCTAAGCCTGAGCTATACCTTAGATGGTATCGTGGCCGGTCTGCCCACCGTGTCCGCGCATATTTTAATATTACGAGATCGACGCATGAGTTCCACAACGTGCTTTCATAGTCTCGTATTATATCTCTTACAGTTTCTTGAACTAAACCGATAAATATTGTTTCGCTGAAATCAATTTGTTTCTATATATTTCAATCTGTAACTTGTTTGTTCTTAATTATTATTGGAGAAAAATATTTCTATAGTGTGAAAATTATAGCATATTACTTGAGTAATACTAATCTTGAAATTTATGATGAATTGCATAAATAAAAATTTTCACAAATAATTCCGCATAGATTATGAAGACGAGAGACAAGATTTGGACAGAGTGACATTCATTTCGTGAATTAACACTTCCCTAGATGGTAACGTCGTTGGAGTTTGCTCAATGTCCGAAAATGGTTTGCGACTTCTTCGGCGAAGGGTTGCTACAAATTCAATGTGAGATCTTATAGTCCCGGTTGTTGTCTCGCCGCACTGTCAACGGAATGCTCGCTATGGCGAGTTCGTGATCTGATTTATGGTACGCGAACAATCGGAAGACCATTCTCGTTGTTATGATCCAAGATGATTTTTCTAAGATTTCGTCGATGATTTTACTTGACATCTTACAGACCAAGAATTTTATTAAAAATTGGCTAAATTAAATAATATAAAGTTATATTAAAAATATGTACTGAGAGAACAATTTTTAGTATTTGTGACTATAATTGTATGTAAAATATTATGGTTAGAAAAATATATGATTTCAACTATATATTTTGTTGGTATCTAGAACTATAAATATAATTATTATTACTTTTAATATCAGCAATAATATGAAGCTCTTAATCATAATATTTTACCATTCAATTATAATCACAAATATTTTTTCTTTCAGTTCACACGCTTCTAGTAAATAAATTAAAATTTCCTTCGTGTAATCATCGTGTAATTTGATTAGTATATCTGATATCTCACGTAATGCATTCGTTCATTTGTTCTGAAGAGAAATTACGGTTGCGCTACAACTTTGGTGTAGCCGAGACATTTGATTTCACCACCTTATAGAGACGTAATTGCAAGAATACGTTTGCACGTATAACAGAATGCTCATTGCGACATTGTCGCGATGGTTGCATGAATAATGTTAGACTCGTAATACGAGACCGCAACTCACAATCGCGCGTCAGCGTTTATTCTGTTCTGCCAACAATCGATTAAAGTAATAGACAGCATCGTAAAGTACAATAACACCGTACAGTTTACATCAGCCATTATGAACAATTCATGCCCCTTGAAACGCAACCCGTTCGACACGTCGCTCGTCACAGACCGTAGCAACGTTACTTCTCTTTTTGCGTCACTTCTTACTTTATATAAGGGTTCGATATCCTTTCGTGTCGAGATTTACGAGAGCTCATAAATACCGCTCCGTTTTAATTAGATTTTTAATAGCAGCAATAAATGTACGCGGATCGTCCTAAAAAATCGTCATCTATTTCATAAACGACATTGTCCACGATGAAAATGGCTTTTTTATGGACAAACCTTCAGA